CCCCCCTCCCCGAAGGAAAGCTCCTGCTGCACTTCTACTCTCGACTGTAGGTTCTAGAAAGTTCTCACCATAGACAAAAGTATATTGCTCTTTGCCACTCAGCCGTTCGTTTTGAAATGTTCTCGCCGTGTAGGAACTAGAGGTGCTACAGAATGGCACCGCCTCCTATTCATTTTCCTACTAGTTTGTTTCCTAATCTCTTTAGACTGGACCAACGTTTTCGATTTTGCCCCACCCCTTCCAAGCTTCTACCTATCGGCAACAAAAAAAACATGTTTCATATATTCTCTATTTTCTCCACAGACGGGCGCACCGACAGGCAAACAGTCAAACAGGCGCACCGACAGACAAACAGTCAAACAGCCGCACCGACAGACAAAAAGACAGAGGGGCGCACCGACAGACAAACAGACAAAGGGGCGCACCGACAGATAGACAGACAGGCAGGCGCACCGGGTTCGTCTGTTTGTTCCTCTGCATGCGGAGTTCGTCCATCTATCCGTCTTCCCTCCCGTCGGTCCGGTAAAATTACATCTTGATTGTTCGCTAAAATTAATGTTGTAGTGAAACATTAATATCGCATTGATTGAGTAGTTTCTTGTGCAAAGTACAATATACACGAAAACAAAAATCTACATGTTTTGTTCAGATAATTGGCGATGTATGTGTATTTAAATGACACAACTAGGATACTTGGCTGTCCGGGGTAAGCCGCGTCTCAATCGATCGAGCTGACGCCAAGACTCCGGCCGCGGTAGCCTACGAATACACACATACAAGTAATTTACTGTGTTTAATTTAATGAAGTAGTACTTGCAATTGACTTCTATCGTCTTAAGAAACGCACAAGAGCCACCAGTAAATCATTCATGGAAATTATAAATGAGGAATATGCCTCATTAATGGTCTCTAGCACAGAATGGCCTCCGGCACGGTTAAATTAATACTTTCCTAGCATGGGCCAACGTGCTCCCGTCGTGCTTCTCGAGCTCAACTTGTAAACCAATCGTTATTTTTTCACCAAGACAAAGGTGATCCATTTTTATCATATGACGACTATTATAATATTAATAAAATTGCTTAAAATTCAAAGCTTTTAAAAATGTATTGTGAGTACTTCTCAAACTTCAAAGTATCGACGTGGATAAGTCTTTAAGAACAACTTATTATTTCGCTTCTTAACACAACGACATTCTTAAGCTTCCACGATCAGCAGACGCCGCAGCAGGGTATTCCGCCCACCAGCTACCCGAGTTCTTATGAGACGACCCATCTGCATATTTATGGGCGTTCGCAGCGCCGCGGCGGTGGCGCGGCGGCGGGTGCAGACAAAGCACAATCGCCGCCTGGCGCATGCGCAGCACGTCCTTCCGTGCGCGGCCTTCCGCGCGCGGCGTGCATGGCCTGCATGACATGCGCCCCCTGCGCGTCCTCGAAGGGGCCACACTTCCGCGGTCCCCCCGCCCCCGCCCGGGGTTCGGCTCCGACAGAATAAACAACCAAGGGAGTGAACATTTTCTTCTGCTCTCGCATTTTCATACATGTCAGAAATGAGGGTGAGGGCGGGAATGTAATTTGTCGGTAGTAGAATCGAATAAAATGTGTGGAAGTTTACTGAAACTAATACTTTCTATTACTATAGAAAAGCGCAGAACTCGTAACGTTTAGAGCTTGTGAGGGTAGCAGCGGCACATGCTGGATGCCAAGAGCTAATGGTGAAAATACAGTATGTGTGTCCATTTTCTTTTAGTACGTCAAAATCATTCTTCGTTTAAAGTTTTTTTCGGCCTATAATAGTTTCAAACCGTTTTTGTGTTATCTATGTACAGTTTCTCGCAGTGAGATGTTATTTTTTCTCTCTCATTAAATATGCGAGTTAACGGGTGTATAATGGCGGGCGCACAAGTCTTTAACAAACAATCCTAAAATTCATCTAAACGGGTCGAATATTTATTTTTTAGTCCACCGTTTATTTTGAGAATTTCATCGGAAGAAGTTTCAGAAACGAACATTGTGTCTAAACTTTTTGGGGAAACGTCTGATATTGAATTTTGTGGCTGAAGACCCTTAGTGAGATCGGCAGCAATTCTCGAAAAGTATTGGTTAAAGAGACTAGCCACTGTTGCAGGATCGTTCACATTTTTATATCGTTATCTTTTAAAACAACATTCTCTACAAGATTTCTAGTTGATTTGGTCTACTTTTTTACTATATTCCATATTGATTTTGTTTTTTATTTAGTTAAAAATTTCCCGATCATGTTTAATTATTTTAGCCTGCCTTATGACTTTTCTTAACAATGATTTGTATTTTTTAAAGTAGAGGAAGAAATCTTCAGATACGTTATGATGTTTAGAAATAAAAGAAAGAATTTGTTTGTTTTTACATTATGTTCTAATCCCTTGTATTATCCAAGAATTGCTTTTCCGTGAAATATTTAATTTTCTTTTTTGAAGAGGAAAGCAAGTGTTAAAATTAAATGAAAGCATTCAGAAAAAAAAGAATTATATTTATCGTTTGTATCAACAGTATTGTATACCATGTCCCGTGATTCTTCCAGCAAGTAATTGACGAATAATTTAATTTTACTTCTAGTAAACAATCTACTCAGACGTGTATTATTTAATGTGTCAGTGTTCGCATTTCTTATAATTGTAAGAATTTGTGCATCGTGATTACTGTATCTTAAATCTTTTGTTTCAATTTCATATCGATTAGTGGTTTTGTTAATTATTATTTGATCTATAGCCTTCTTTAAATATAGTGTGGACCGTGTAGGTATTTTATTGTAATATCTAAACTGAAGGAATAAATAATTTGAGAAACTGCTCTTTCACGCAAGATTCGACCACAAAATCAATGTTAATATCTCCGCATACAACAATGGATTCAAAAGAACGATTGCTGACTTTGTTTAGTGTTATCTCCAGCTCTCTTTGATAGCGGCCTGTAGATGCAAAGTAACATAATTTTTAGCATAGGAAGATGTTCTACAGACATTTCAAAAACATTTTGAACGGAATATACATTTATTCCGTCAAGGAGATAGAATCGATATTATATCTAACGTAAAAGCAAGAACCCCCATATGCAGGATCCAAATGCGAATCCTTTTCTCTTCGGTAATAGCCTGCGGGGTAAAAGTTTGGGATTTGGAAAATACTAAGTTCATTATAAAATAACCAATGTTCTGTAAAGCAGAGAACATCATTTGATTTAAATCGCTCCGTAGAGCTGCTTCGATAAACTCGGTTTTATTTGAAAGATATTGAACATCATGGTACAATATGTGTATCTTTTGCTAGAAGAACAAATTATTGAGGAAACATCTAGTACCTCCCAAAAGCAAAATTCGCTAACGAAGTCGTCCATATCGATGCGCGAATGTCAAAATGCGTCTTAAGTAAATTAAAGATCTTAATGGAAAAGGGGCTCCAGAAATGTAGTCTCCCATCTCTTGTTCTAGGCTGTGCACACCAATCCTACTTTTTTCCACTACTTATTTTTCCATTTTCGTTTCAAAAACTCCTCTGCGCACCTTAAGCCAATATGACCGTATTTAAATTGAAATTGCAATAAGATTCTTCGGTTTATTGTCCCTGAGATTACAAACTTAAGATGGAGTTGAAATTTGAGATGGGAGATGGAACAAAAATTCATTGATTTGTAGTCAATAACATAAGAAATATTCAAATTTTTCATGAGCCTTGTCTTATTTTATAATGACACTTAATTGACATAATTCAACAATTTCCAAACTTTTACTGGCATCCTTTGTTGTCATGCCTTTTATTTTCAAAAGATCTTTGATGCTTACTTCCACAAAACCACTTGTAAACCTCATAACCGGACACTATAAACTATACCTGGTTGAAATTGTCTTACTTTTAAGGAGGAGGAAGTATATTAAGCTTTTTCACCGAAAATATCTAGTTTTAAACCTCATGGAATGTGAGCCCAAACATTTGTTTTAGAAGGAACAAAATCCTTATTTGTATTTTGATTTGATTTCAATGAATGTTTAAATTACCAGTCATAATATTACCTAATTGTTAATTAAAAAACTATATATATAAAAAGGGAAATGTGAGGCATATTGTCGGTTTTTTAGCAGAAAATCCCAAAACTAATTTTATAAAAACTGTAAGTTTTACAGACCAAATGTGTGTGTTGAACGTGAAGAAATTGATGAGAGTACACATCGAAATAACTCAAAAGGTGAAGATGGAGATGATGCTGCAGCTATCTTTGGTTCATTCCATTTCTCCAGTTGCCAACAAACACCAATTTCATATGTGTGCCGCACTAAGTAAGTGAGAAATAACTGACATTTTTAGTGAACAATATAAATTTTCTGTACATCATTGGATCCTTTATTCTAATAAAATTATTTTCTGGTGTTTTAGAATGAATTCTCATGGAATTCGGAAGACTTTCATTGTGAAGTATCAGTGCTGCTATGGCCATCAACGTGTTGAAGGAAAACCTGGCTGTGTTGAAGGTATGTTCAATTAAGAAATCGCAGATTTAATTTATTTTAACCAATTAACTTCATTAATAAGTCAATATCATGTGTTTTCCCATCACAACATCAAAATAAAAATAAAAAAAATGTTTTACTACTGAAAATGGATTGTCATGAAATGCAAATTTCATTCCATTTTCCATTCAGTCATTCCATTTTGTTCCATTCACCTTCATGCTTCATACCATTTGTACTATTTATGTCAATGTAATCACAATTAATAATTTTAAGTAGTAATGATACACAGGAAAGACAAGTTCAGGAAAACCAGACTGATCATTCTAAAGAAATCATCTCTCACAAACATTGCATGCAACAAACTCAGTAAATATTCTGACCAATTTTTTTCAGTGCACATGAAGCCACTGATGGATACTTTGGAGGATGTTGGAGCTCGTGACTTTGTTGAACTGGTTCGGTCTTCTGGTCTTGATGAAAAAGTCCGTGAAAGCAATATGACAATATTTGCTCCATCTGATGATGCAATCCGAGACTTCACAGACAGTTTTCAAGAAGCAGTAAGTTTATTTTGATTAAAACAATGTAAATCTTGTATAGCACAATTCTATTAAAATACGAGTTGAAATAGAAAAATCCTTCAAAATCACTTTAAATTATTAAAACAGTGTTACCATAAAAAGATTGTATCCCAATAATAATACTGTATTTCACAGAACCAGGTGGAGTTCTACTCAACCATTACCCAGAGAAGAAAACGTGAAACTAATACCAAAGAAGATAACCTCAGCATGCGCAAGATTGTCTTAGGTCACATGACACCAGGCTTCTATGATATCAATGAGATTGTGAACAAAAATGTGAGTGCTTGCATCATTTGCCCTCATTTTATTGATTACATTCACTTGTGTCAATAATTTAAAAAATAATGATGCAATATAAATATTATTCAAATATATATGGCCCTATTGCTAAATTGGATGAATACTTTTAACAGGAGGTGTTTACGGAAAACAACAATAGCTCTATTAGGTTAAATGTGTATCCAGCCCCAGGAGAACGTATTATTACAGCAAACTGTGCTCGTGTAACATCCATCAACAACTATGCCACCAATGGCATTGTACATGTAGTGGATAGAGTTCTTCAACCTGTGACTCAGTCTTTGGCACAACTCATTGCACAAGATGAGCAATTCACAACACTGGAATCAAGTAAGTTTGAAAGGGAAAGAATTTGTAATCTCTTAACTTTCTAAATCACACAGTTGCCAATTAAATTTTAATTTTATAATAAAAAAGAATGTTATCTGATTTAATTTTTATAGTATTAGTAACAAAACTAATGATGATAGTAATAATATATGCAAGAAAATTGCCACTATTAAAGGTTGCTTTCATTGCTAGTGTTGTAAACTATTACCAACAATGTGAAAAAAATTGGAAAATTTTGTGTCTGTCAAAGTAAACTTCAGAAAAGCAGTAAAATAAATAATTAAAACATCTTTTTTTTAAACATATTTAAAAAGAGCCTCACACTTCAATTACAAGGTATGGCATTATCAGGAATATAAATGTCTCACTGTTATGATTTATGACCTATTACAGTGCTGAGCAAAGCTGGCCTTCTCAAACAATTAGCTGAACCAGGACACTGGACATTGTTTGCATTCACTGATTCTGCCTTTCAGAAACTTGATGCAAACATTCGCAAGAGATTGACAGATGCTGATACTTGCATTACAAGTAAGTGTAAAAAGGTTTTGAAATGATGAAATGTAAGATATTTCTCACTAGATCAGAAATAAACTATTTTTTGTAACAATGAAATAGAAATAATGAAGCAAAGAAGTCAGACTACATACTAGAGTGAGAAATGGAATACCTATATAGAAATAAAAACACAGAAAATTGATTAGTTAGCAAATAATATTCTAAGAATGTATTCTTTAACTGAACAGTCATCTAAAAATATAACGATCATTATTACGATAAATGAATTATTAATTAATTACAAATATTTGATTTACAGATGTCGTGCGTCATCACTTAGTTCCTCATACTCTCTGTTCTGCTCCTATTGTGACGCATGCAACCACTCTAAACCTTGATGGAGAACCACTTTCTCTTGAACGTCGACCTGAAGATGGTAAACTTTTTGTGAACAAAGTACAGATTGTAGCAAAGGATATTATGGCTACTAATGGAATAATTCATGTTGTTGATGATGTTCTCATGCCAGATTCAGGTAAGCAAATTGAGCACCCTCAAGTATTAATTTAGAAGCATAAATTGGAAAACCAGAAGAGAGAAATAACATATTTTAAAATAAGACTTGGAAAAAAAATCTGCTTTCAAATGATTTTGCTTTACTATTTGAATAAAAATTTAATGCATGTGAATGTTTTACAGAATATTTTTCATGAACTTAAAATAAAATTTAGTAATGGAAACATAGAATTTCTTATTACTTATAGAATTGCTAATTAATATTTAGTTCATATTTGTTTGTTTTCCCTTCATCATTACTTTTGTTGTTTTATTTTCTGCCATCTCATTCAGTTCAATTTATCCCAACCCAACATTTTACACTTGAGATCTTAGAAAATAAATCTCAAGTAGATTCTATATATTTAGACTAAAAAAGCCTTTGATACTGTTAATCACATAGTACTCATAAGCACGTTAAAATCCACAGATCTCCACGTTCCACGATTATCATGGTTACAATCCTTCCTATCCAACAGAGTTCAAAACATAAAATATCAATTATGATAAATTCGATAATATCTTTAACTATTCAGGTATACCCCAAGTGGCTAATTTAGGACCATTATTGTTTCTGAAATTAATCCATGACATAAAATCTATATTATCGGCATGCCCCATTTCTTCTATTTGTGGATAATTTGAAATTATTTAAGATCAAAACTATAGAAAACAATAAAATACTTCAGCAGGCTATTAATGATTTACTGAAGTGGATCAGTCATAATTTACTATATTTTAATGTCAGTAAATGAAAAAGTTCAGATTCTTATACTTGAAGACTCCCATAATATATTCTTACAACATAGATGAGCATCTATTGGAATCAGTTGACCAAATCGAAGACCTTGGAGTAACTTTTGACCCCAAAATGAAATTTAATATACATGTTGACCAAATTGTCAATAAAGCCAACCAAATAATCGGCTTTGTCGGCTTCGTGAAGAGGACCACGGGTTAAAAACTTAAATTCACCTAAAATTCTTTATTTTCCTTTAATAAGGTCTATTTTTGATGTATGTATTTCAAATATGTTCTCCATCATAAACAGTGTTTAAAATATATTTGAAATAGTCCAACACAAGTATCAAAATTTTCTAGCCTGGAAACTCAGCTTGCCATCTTTGTTCTTAACCCACAATTATACTCAAATAAAACAAATAGTTAATATAAGCTCTTGAGTCACATGAAAACTTCATGATCTTGCATTCCTATTCAAACTATGAAACAGTGCACTAGATTGTGCCGAGTTATTTTCAAGGGGATTATGGAATGTACCCATGCGCCAATTGAGAGGAAACCAGTACACCTTCTCCGTGCTAACTGCTTGCACAAACAATTGGTTTAATGCCCCAATGTGGAGAACGTGCAAGCATGCAAATAAAGTTATAGTAGACAACGAAATCCCTTTTGTCTCAGATCAAAGTATTGTAAAACTGCTTAAAAATTATCTGCTAACCGACTTCAAGTGATTCAAGAAGGTTGAGTTTCATCATTATATGATATTCATTTTCTTTTGAATCTTTGTAACTTCTGTACTAGTATGTATTAATTGGATGATCACATGTAAAATAAACATTTTTATTATTAATATAATTATGGAACATAATTGTTTAATAGTCATTACTTTTCATCATGCTAATTAGCAACTTCATAACTCCATATTCCCTCGTCTGTTTTCTGGTTACTTCATGACAAAATATAATTATGAAAGAAGAGTAATAAATAAAAGTAAATTACAAATCAAGCTTCTTAAATAATTGAGGTCCACAGAATTTATGAGTTCAACAAGAAAGGAAACTAAAATTCTCCTTCCAGGCTATGTTTACTCTTTAGATTGCGAAACAGTCCAATCTGGAGTTATGAGGTGCGTTAATTAGTATGATGTTTTGATATTTTTAGCAATCACCTCTTGCCACGAATATTATGAGACCCATCTTTATACAATAGTCTGATTTTCAAAATAAATCTTAATAAATAATCCATCTTCTCTTGGTGGATAGGCCAACCATTGAGTCATGTGTTGGGAGCTCATAACTTGACAACTTTCCGAAGCCTATTGGAAGAGGCTGGTCTTTCTGAAGCCCTGGATTCCACCAGCAATGTCACCCTCTTTGTGCCTTCTGAGGAAGCGCTCTCACAGCCAGAAGCAGTGGCTGAGCTGGACAAACGTCGAGGGGATCCAGCTGCTCTGCGTGATCTGCTTCTGTTCCACTCCACTGGACCAGCTGTCAAGGGCTGCGATCTGGGTTCCAGCCGACATGAGCTCAAGAGTGGTTTAGCTGATCACTCACTGCGCCTTGGCTACTACTCCTCTGTGAGTAAACTTTATATTAAGCTTATCCACAATGTAATTTATAAAATCTATTATATTAACATGCCTTTTAACTAGGTGAACCACAGAATATATATTTCAATGATATAATGATGCCAGATCCCATAATAAATTAATATGTAATTCAACAGATCAGAAAATAATCTCACGATTAATTTGATTTTTATTCACGTAATCTTTCTGATAGTGAATGGGAGACTCCTCCTGTGTGTCATCTCAACTACAAATACCACTCAATGCAAATTATCAAAAATATATCCCACTCGTTTTGCTCCTTATTCTCATTTAGTATTTTACTTTATTATCTTCTCTGAACCAATTTTGTATTCCCTAAAGAAAAGGTGCTGAAGTCACTAAAAATTTAAATCATTTGAAATTTTTTGCTATTAATAACATTTCATTGTCTACTACATCGCAATAGCAATGGAAAATTATTAGGAACTATTTTTCATTCCATGAATTTCAGTTTAGAAATGGCTCAAGTTTTAACTGACTTCTGGTAGCTCATTTTGTGGAAAATAAGTTGAAGGTGTCTTCCCTAACATAGATTTGGACTTCATCATTGAATCTTCTTTGTCACAGTGGCCCTTCCTAAGCAGTGCAGCGCCTGGTCGAGCTACAGTGGAGTGTGCTCGAGTCACTCACTTTGATAGTCGTGCCTGTGGTGGTGTAGTTCATGAAGTCGATCGGCTATTGGTGCCGCCAGAAAATTCTGTGCTTGATAAACTTCGTAATCTGGGCAATTATTCCATATTGCTTCGACTGATTGAGGTATGTTTCTAACCTTTTCTTTACTACAATCTTAAGACATAGGAGTTAATTATCTTTTCCATAATCAGACTTTATCATTAATACTTGAGAAATTCATTCAATTCAATATTATTAACAGACTTGTATACAATTTTTTTTTATTATTATTATATTACTATATTAATTCAATAAACATTAAAAAAGAAATTTTCTCACAAGTACCATTATTTGTAATTTTTTATTATTATGTTAGATATTATTAATTATTATGTTAATTAATTATCAAAATTATATTAAATAAGCAAACAAACAAAATATTATTTTTTTTACATGCTCAAAAAATTCAATCTTAAAAACATTCCTCCAAAAAATAATTATGTACATTTCAGAATTAAATCCTGAATTAATTTTTACAGAATGCTAACTTGGAGAATGAACTGAAACAGAATGCTCCTTTGACGATACTGGCTCCCCCAGACTCGGTGTTTGAACAACTTGATCCTGTTGATTTGCAACTGCTTCACAATGATACCCAGTTGGCTGCTCGCATTATTAAACATCACATCCTCCCAGGTAACCACTTTATTTCAACATATTTGGAAACATTCATCATTCCAAGTTGCATTATTACAAATATGCAAGAAGATCAAATCTCCCAGAACAATTATTTTAGGTCTGGAGAAAATATTTGATTATTATAAATAAATTATAAACAGCTTTCATCCTGAGACCCATGCCAGTAAAAATGTTTCCCCTCCTGTTCAAATAATTCAAATCGGCAACTGTTTGCTACTTTCATGAAATGTAATACTCATACAATTTCCTGCGATTCACTCTTATTTCTATTTCTTCAGAAAAATCCTTCGAGCATTATCTCATTGAAATTAATCTGAGGTAAACTTTCCCTGAAATACAAAGTGATAAAGATTTTTGTACTTAAATAAAAATTAATTTTTGTAATTGAGCACTGGGCCAATTTCAGAAATGTTGTGCTGTACGGGTATTGGAGCATCGTCTTGGCTGTTTGTGAATCGGGTGGAGACTCTTGATGGACACTATGTGGCTGTGAGAAGAGATAGTGATGACAATGTCCATATTGGAACTACAACTGTAAGGCAGTGTGATATCATGGCAACTGATGGCATTATCCATTCAGTGAACAGGGTAAGAAAGAAATGGTGAATACCAATGAAATAAATTCAACTGAGACACATATCAAGCATGATAAAAATATTCTTTACATATCTCATTTCAAAATCAGTGTTTTATTTTTTTTTTTAATTAATGTCCTTTAATCTAATAATCACCAGAAAAATAATTTTCTCACAATTATCATAATTTGATAATTCTCACTAACAATAAAATAACTTCTTAATTTGTGAATTTGTGAGAATATTAATTCATAATTTAAGAAGTGTTAGCAATTATTCTACTACCCATACATAATAACCTCAGTAACTGTTCATCTTTTTTTGGTTTATGTTATATGTTTGTATTAAAATTGTTTTGGCAGGCCAGCCAACCTCTAAAAGTCTGTTCTCATGTTCCATTTAACTGTTCTTTCAATTTAAAATAAAATCCAGTTGGACCATTTCAGTTCATTGTTTTGTTGTACTTTGAATTAATAGATTTTCATTCATGATGTATAGAAGAATGCTCTGTCGGTTATGGAATCAAACATTACATTCATGACAATTTAATTATCTTATATGTGATCAGAAATCTTGTGTGGTTCATTCCTTTCATTCATCACCCTTCATCTCAATTTGCATCGCATACAATTGGTTATGTTTTGATGTTTTTGTTTTCAGATCATGGTACCCATGAGACGTAAGAACAGTCGCAACAAGAACCCCAATGTGGATGTTTTCTTGTATGGTCTTTAAACCTTATTTAACTTGCCCATTACATGGGATACCATAATTTCAGTTTAGATTTTTATACCAAATGTTACTGTTTACTTCCCAATAAGCTTGCAATCAGAACAGAAGAGCTGCTTCAGTAGTTCGTTGCATTTGTGCAAGCATAGGAAGAACACATGAAAACTACAAAAAAGCAGTGATACAGTTTACTTAAAGCAAATTTGAAGCTTGAGAAAGAGCTGCACCCAGATAATTGAGATACATGTGTTCTGTCCAGTGTTGTTGAATACTGATTGTGATTTGTAATGTGAGAATACATGTATAACACAATCTAATAAAGTAATAATTTTAAAATCTTACTTTATTTATTTACTTTCTTTTCTGCATGCATTACATTTTTTTAATGTTATGAATTCCGTGTTTTTGTGTCTATTTGCTTTTAATAAAAGAAAGAAACAAATAATCAATAATTTAAGAAGTACCGTAAATGACTTTATGGCACAGGAAGACTAACACTTACACAGACATGTCAGAGGAAAAAAATGTGATTAAAGATTTCTGTGTAGATTTTCTGTACTGTTAGTTTCTGGTAGTCAGCTGTTGAATTTGACACTTAATGATTTCTACAACGTGTGTTGTAATTTTAAATATCAGTATTGAATGACATGTCCCCACTGTTAAGTAAGTTAGTTTTGACAAATATTACAGATTCATAAATAAATAGGCAAGGTGAGTGGTAAGATTCCAAGCTCAATGAGAAGAGGCTTGCAGGGACCATACGGATAGCATATTTTCATCATTTGAATAATTTTCTTTTGTAATCTAACAGTCTCGGTACTACATGATGAGCTTCCCCAGAATATTATGCCACAACTCTGGCGGGAATGCACATTTGCAAAATACACGCAACAAGCTGCATGAAGGCAGACAGAATTTGAAAGAATTCTGAATGTGTAACATAATGAACTTAATTTAGTGTTTAATTCTGTTATATGTGCATTTGATGTATGACTGAATTGAGAGACCTAGAAATTACCTTATAAGAGACCTTAACCACCATATCCTTCACCCCTACAAACAAACCATCACCTACACCCACATTCTCCTCCCTGATGAAATAATACTGACTATTGTACAAATATAACGAAGATTCTACAAACAGACGAGACAATGAAAAAACTTCTAAAACAAACTCAAAGACGGGTTCATTCACTTCTATGAGACAAACAAATATGACGACTTAAAGACAAGAGCAGTTCCAACAACATTTATAAAGTAATCAAGGTAGTATCAAATACCCTAACCCTAATTTCCCCTCTACACCAACCCAAAGTCCTTATCCTTTGATCCCCAAACAATTGAAAATATCTTCGCCCAAAACCCTAGCCGACCGCTTCCGCCACCCCCAAACGTTCCAATTTCCTAAAATGTACTCCTCCCCTCCATCAGCAAACGATATGGAACTCTGACAGCTCCTGGCAATGACTCACCAATCTAAAGCCTCAGGACCCAATGGAGTTCTCCCCCACCCAACTCCGCAATCTCCCAAGAATGCCTTGGACCTCCTTATCCTCATCCTCAACTCATGTTTCAAACTGTCAAACTACCCCTCCCTCCCGAAAACAGCCCGCGCGGCCATGATCCCCAAACGCAGAAAGGATCTTTGGCATCCCCCACCAACTACAGACTCATATAAGCCTCCCTCCTATACTAAGTAAATTTTTTGAAAAGGTTATCCTCTTCCTAACACCCATTATCGACCCTCTCCTTCATTAGTCCCAATTCGGTTTCCGTGAGTGGCGTTCTGCATCCCTCCAAACCTTAAACCTTACCCTCTCCATAGCCACCCCCCTCCAGGACCGTAAAGAAATCCCCACTATCCTTATAATCCCACACAGGCAATCGACACCATTTCCCAACCAATCTTCCTAGCAAAAAACAGCCTCCACATCCCTGACCACATCCACTCTCCACTCCAAAGCTACCTCTCCCATACGCATTAAAAAAATCTCCCAACAACCTGATCGAAGCCGGCGCCCTACAGGACGCCGTGCTTTCTCCACTCATTTTCCCCTGTATATAAACCTTCCTTTCCAGGAGTACAGAGATTCCTTTATGCTGATGACCTTCCCTTCCTTCCGCAACCTAATTAACCCGCTCCCTAAAAACGTTCAAAAATTCCTCGACTCCTTCAACCACTAACCCCCCAAACTCCATCAACATTAAACCTTCAAAATCCCTGGCCATCCTCTTTTCCTACAAAACCTGTCCGTCAAACCCACCTCCAAAATCCTATCCCCAGGCAACCCCATATCAAGTACCTTGGCATTGCCCTATTCCGCAGATTCCTTTGAACTATCCACATCCTCAACACTATAGTTAAAACCAACCGTATCATCAACGCTCTTTATCCTATCCTTACAAATCCACTGACGAAAACGGACGGATGGACAGAGACGGGCAGTGACGGTCGGACTAACGGACGGACACTCAGAAACTGACAGAAACGGCTGGTCGACCAGAGACGAACGTGCAGGAGATGGACGGACAGACAGCGACGGTCGGACAAATGGACGGACAAGCAGAGGAGAGAGAAGACAAACGAACAGAAATGGACGGACGGGCAAAGTCGAGCAGAGGTTGACGGATGGGTCGAGATGGATGGAAGGACAGACTGACGGAGGGACGAACAGAGGCGACAGACAGACACACGTTTCTTAAAAATACCTTCTCTGTATTAGGGGGACTCCAAAACGCTTACCATTGATTTTCCGCTGCATTAGAACATGACTCGCTGGATGTTCGTTAAAGTAGAATGGAGAACATAAAAAATTTGCAATTTTTATCAACCGTTTGTTTGATTATTTATGGTTCCAGGATCTTCATTTGCTACGGTCATTAGTATCATAAGTGGAGTGCATGTTTTATCCGTATGTGGTGCGGTGTTCTTCCCCCCTCAATGGTGAGATCTGGTGCCGACTTACACGTCGGCTAGATGGGTTTTCCCAACCAGATATCTCCCAGCAACGGGACTTCGCCCTAGCCAGGACAAGCTCCAAGCCCGTGACATGTACGGTAGTGCATCAAAGTGTGTAAGGGGTGAGGATTGACATGGAAGGGGAAGGAATCGCTTGGGTTTGATCGGAGAAACCACGGAAAACTACCGATCAGAGCAGCCGAAAGCTAGAACTCTCGTCCAGACAGCGGATGAATTCGATCTAGCTATGAAGCTAGTGTAGAACACCTGACACTGTCGGAACTTGAATCCTAGCACCTTCCCAACAGATGTACTGCAGTGACACGAGTTAATACCCTGGATCTTCTCAGCCGGAATTATTTGTGAATTGCGAGCACCTCAGCCGGTAGGCCATTTCGGTAATTTATTGGAATGACGTAGGTTTGCATAAGAACTGTCAATTCAATTTTTATGGCCATAAGTAAGATTGTTTCAGGAACAATACACGAATACAACGACCCTGCCCAATGTTTCCCAACCACTCACCATTATACACAGCACGAACCACCGATCGCAGAAGGCCGAAGCGATGCTCAGCAATAGGGCGGCACTATCATGCCCGGAACCTTCGTTTAGCGAAGGTTGCGTTTACCTCGACGGAACCACCCGGAACTAAGCAAAGGCGTTATTATTTGCTCCGTTTATGCACTTTTCTGGTCATTTCTCGCACCACCTTCCCTACGCATCTCGGGCCCCATTGGTTACTTTCATTCACATTGAAAAATAAGTTTATTTTCAGTAATTCATTATTTTTCGCAAAACATTCACATAATCCATTGTTTAAACAATACTTTCACTTCATATCTATTGGATTTATTAATTTATTGTCTTCCCCACGTTTCAAATAAAGAGTTGACCCTTGTCACTGTCATATTTTTAAGTTCTTGTTCAAAACAGCCAAAGAAACATTTTCCCAAAGTTAAAAATTACTTTAACTTAAACAAAAATATTTATACTGGATTTTCTTTGTTTTAGAGAGAGGCAGAAATTTTACAACTGAAAAGAATGTGAACTTCTTTACATTACTCATCTGCATTTGGTCTTATTATTACAGAAATCATGACTTTTGAAGTACAAGTATTACATTGCCAAATTAAAAACTTCACCATGCACACAATAAATCTCTAAGGTTTTCCTCAATTGGTCATAATATTGCCACCATCTTCGGATGAAGTATTACAGATGAATTTGATTTTTCTCCATGGGTTTCCTTCCTCACTGCTTTGAAAAAAATACTGATGATTCTTCAACATGGTGCTAGAGATGAATTATCAGATCTCCTACATCATTTGTAGTGTGACTTTGAAACTCAACCCTTTCTTACATTAGTCACAAGCATGCCTTTACTAAGATTCATTACTAGGACCAGGGTTCTTAGGATTCTATAAACATCAGTGTAGGTGTTTTGAAAAGTCAATTTAGTTCATTTAATGTTATATCATTTTTAATTTTTATCAGGCTGACCAATAATTACAACAGATATCAAATTTAAATAACTAACTTATTTTATTCAATGTTTTTACTTTTAAACTTTGAGCAGAATTCTTCTTGAAAAAACACGTAAAATTTAATAACAATTTTTGAACTTCTTAAATATTCCCTTGAAAAATTAGCATCCAAACCAAAAATTACCTTTCTTTAAGATGTACTGTTGAAACGAAAAACCATGTTCATAATTCCACAACATCTTATATTTCAAGGACTACTATTGTCTTTTAATGCACACTTGAAACAAGAAAAGGGTTACTTAATGTTACATTAAGTTAATGGTGAATACTTCATAATGCCACAGCTCTTTGTCTCTACAGTTGAATACAGACATTTATTCTAGAACAACTTCATTAGTGCCTTGATTATGTCTTTGTGTAATCGGCATTAAGTTAAATTTTTGAGTTTTATCAAGGACACATCACTTACAGTCTGTTACTTCCTTCCTTGAAACAGTGTAAGTGATGTTCATAACTTCATTGAGAAGATACGCATATTCTATTTTTTTTCAGAAAATTACTATTCATCTAACTACAGTAAAATCTGTCCAACCCAGAATCGATTGAGACAAAAAAAAAAAAATTACTCCGGTTTAGGGAGGTTTCCATTTGATGCAATGACACATTATATGGATATTTCCATCCTGGAACTAGTAAAGTAGTACATGACTACTGTAATTATAAAAAGATATTAACAAACAACATATTTATGGAAGAAATCATTGGTCTCTTCAACACTCAATACATTACAGCCCAGAGTACTATGTCTTTCTGACATCCTCGCATGGCCTTGACCAGTGCGGCTGTGGCTGAGGAGTTACGATTCTCATCGCAGGGCCAAGAGATGTTGAACAGAAGTCGTACCCATACAAATTCTCACAGCCAAGGAGGGAGGGAATTCACCTACTACATATATCTTGAGAGACGAGTGTTTGCAAGGTCAAATACTACACTGACAGCTGAAGCCCTCACCTTCACTGTCAGGCTGCCAGGACTGAAACGCATATCACAGGGACAGAGAAATTAAAACGGACTATTCCGTTAAGAGATTTCGTGTCTCCCTGCCAATTGAATTAAATTCACAGAAATTCTGTTTTATAAGGTCTTTCACTGCAGAACATTCAAAATCATGTTTCCGCATTGGAAACAGGTTCTGCTTTATGGTGCGTAAAATACCATTAAACTTCACAGGCCAGAGAAAATTTCTGATTAAGACAGGTTTCCAGCTTGTAAAGGTTCCAGTTTAGACAGATTTTACTGCAGTACCGATGAAGTCAGCAACATTAGCTGCTGCAAACCATAAAATTTCAATCAACCCACATGAAGAAACGAGTTTTCATAAGAACTTTTGTAAGCCTATTTTAGGATCATAAGCCATTTTTAGGATCTAGAGGATTACGAATTTGGCTGAGAAATGATTGAAATGGATATATTTATTAAAATAATGAATAACTAGTGAAGAATAAAACAGCTTAAAACCTAAGAAGGTACACCTCAGGTGCAATTGTTTTGACCATACACCCATTGTTTTCACCATATATAAAACTTACATTCAATAACAACCAAAAAATCATACTTGTTGGGTAAGGTTGTAACCACCAGAGCACTAACTTAACATCAGGGTACAAATTGATCAAAGAGAAGCCAGGGATCATGGTCCCTGCTGGAAAAGCATTTATTTGTTCCTGCCAGTGGCACAATCCACTTTTAGATGCCTCATTTATGATATCCACACTTAGAAATGTTCAAATCAAGAATATTATAAAAGGAAACTTAGGTTTGTAAACATGGGAATGTTATTTGGTCCAGCTGCATTAGGCATTGGGCCTGTTGACAATGAAGTCCAGAGTCCACACAACAAAACTGTTAAATGTCATGTCTTCTTCTACCAAGAAGGATTAGGCTTCAACCTGAACTGATGTCCACTTCTTTGGACTGACTACATCTCTCCTTCCTCATGGGTTGTATTAAAGACGCAATTTTACAATTGACATCTTTTTGACGTGTTTGTACATTCAGATTACTTTCAGTGAGCATAAAAATGAAGAAGCCACATGTGTGTATATTATTCATTTCCACAATTTAAAATAAACACTAATATTGGGTTTGTCATGAAACTTCTCATTGTCCACTTGTTTTTATTTTTTTAACATCCACCTATGAAGAAATTGCCAATTTGCACCCTGCTTAACACAAAAATGGAAACAAAAATAAAATCAACATGAATCTATAAATCAGAGTCTAAATTTATACATAAGGTAATGTTTACAATAAATGTATTCTCATGTATACATATTTTACATATATATATATATACACATATTTTACATTCATAAAGAGACAATAATATTCAAAATTCAGCATTTATTTTAATAGAATATTCACATATGTAATCATTATAATTGTCCTGGTGTAAAAACAACAATAATCTTCACAACTGTAAAAAATACACACACTAATCAACATATTTACTTACATTATATTCTGACCATTGCTTAATTCAATTGCTCTTTCATTATTATGGTTTGGAGCTAAAAGAATTATCATCAATCAATTCATTTGCATGAACCCTTTAGGGCATAGAGCTGGACTTAACTCTTTCCTCTCCTTAATAACATCTTTATTACATTAACATATTACACAAGCCTTATTTTCACTATATATACGATTCATATTTACATTGCTATATCTTTTTCCATCTTAAAGCTTATTTACAGCTTATTTAAAGCTTTTAATTATTATCAACAATAGTCCCTAAAAACTATTTAAGTCATTCAATAATTCTATATTTACACTTTATCCTTTTTCATGATTTTTACAAATTACTTATCTCATATATCCAATTATCTTAACAAAGATTTATATGGTTAATTTGCTATCAATTACCCCCTTTCTCCAAAATAATAAATTATATTCCTTAGAGTGTATATAGAATCTAGATTGGCAATATCTAATGCAATCAAAAATTGGATGAAAACTATGTTGCATCTGGCCATGTGGAAGTGTCTTGGGATTGGTATATACCCATGAACTCAGGACAAATCCAAACTAGTGCTGCTAGAGAATGGCACAGACTTTCTCGAACAAGTTAGTTTTCTAATTTCTTTGTTCTAGGCTAGGTTTTCAGTCTTGCCCCATCCTCTAGCCAGCTGCCATACTACTTTTTCTCTCAATTTTCCTTCTTTTTAATAGAAGAATCGAAACAAGACTTTAAGAATATTACAGAATAGTAAAACCTTGTCCCATATAGAAATTTTCATTGAAAAATTTGAAGCTGTTTTTGAGAAAATATTGTTTAAGCTTGTTTGTAAATGTGAAATTTGAAGCGCTTTTTTACAGAAAACATTTGCGGTTTTGAGAATTTTTTTGTATCTTTGTTTGGCAGCAGTTTTTCTACTGAAGGCCTCTGGTAAATCATAAATAATGTTTCAAAATAACAAAGCTAGATCTTCATAATGGAATTGTAAATCTACAAATGTTTAGTAAGTGTGTATTGTGAATCTCAAGTTTTCAACCATTTAGGACACAACCATTCTATAAATGAGAGACTTGCAGAACTGTCTATTCTACATGTGCTCAAGACATACCTGCTGTTGCTGCTGTCTTCCAGATTATGTACAAAATGTTAATGATTGAAAAAATACCATAATTGTGAATTACATATCTTCTCAACAATATCAACTGACGATTTATAATACATTGAATGCCACCCAAATGAGGCACATTGGTTTCACTCTACAGCCAAACTATTGACAATGTGAATTATTTGAAGAACACTAACAAATATGCAGCAAACTATGCTTCATATATGTTTCATGTTTCACTCAGAGGAGATATGAGTTGCTGTTACTACAGTCACTCCATGCCACTAAATAAATCTGCTAGAATTTCTATATACACTGAAGTTGCATCCCCATAGCACTCAGTGTGCACAGAAATTGAACAATATGCTTTTAAGAATTTTATACCATAAGAATGAGAATAATTCTTATTTATATATTTATTTACCATCAAAAACAGTTAAAAGTTGTGTGACATACTATGGAAAGAAGAGTATCTGAGCATGTTTTCTTAAATTCTGGAATCCCTACCCTAATCCATACATATACCAGTTTAATTTTTTGAATGCAGATGGAAGAAAGTTTTCATAAGGAATATATTGCTTCGAAGTTTTCTTATAATTTCATAACATTCCTTATGAAAAGTTAAACACACAGACAACTTCCCAATCAACACCACTAATGGAAATAAGAATTTTTGGTGAGAATTGATAAGAAAAATTCACTCCAGTATCAAACAAAACTACTTGCGAAGGTAAAAAAGCTGTAGATATTTGCTTTTATTCCTCATCGTGCCCTTTGTGAAAGAATTGACTACATGCCATTAGAACACACAGAATGATAATTGAAAAACTATATTACCCACAGAACTCTAGAAGACGTGCACAGATAATGAAGTTACATTTATGTCCAGAAACAAAATAAGGGACTATCTCAGCATTGCACCAAAGATCATGAAAATTGGATGAAAATCCAGATCGCGATTGGAGGGAGGTTCAGAAACTGAGATACATTACTTGTTATAAGTTGTTTAGAATTATACAGTTCAAATTGTAATTAATGCATTCAATATTATTGTTAAAATTAATATTACTTTCCTTTTTTTATGCTCAGTATGGTCTCTAATTGTACAGAAACAGTTATGCAGCAGGAAAGATTTTACTTGGCACTTCAACTTGTGTATTGAATGTAATTGTGTAACGTCATCTGGAAAAGCACTGTAAAATGATTGTGCATGTACTGTATGTCAATTTTTTGTAGTGAGCTGTTGATACTGACACCTGAAGAATAGGATTACTATGTAAGGTGTTATAGTTCTAGACATCAGTATTAGCTTAAAATATGTTCCTATCCTTGAGTAAGTAATTTTTGACAAATATCGCTGATTTGTAAATCAAGAGGCAAGATAGTAGTAGAATTCCGAACTCAATAAAGAGAGGTTTCCAAGAAACACATGGATAGGATTTGTTTTTGATTCATACAAATATTTTTTGTAATCTAAAAGTCTGTGAGCTTATAGAAAATTTTCTCAGAATATTGTGCCACATCTGAGGCAGGAGTGAACATTTGTGAAATATCAAAATGAGCAATAAGAAGGCTGACTGAATTTGAAAGGATTCTGAATTCATCTCAATGACTGAACTGAAAATACTCTCAAAATTATGTGCCACCTTTACCCCCTTCTCCTCCATCAGTTCAAGAAGCATCCACAATTTCCGAAAGACATTCAGTAACAAGTCATAAAAGGTAAAACTCACAAGCTCACACACAGGCCTAAATACTTTGAAAATTGTTTAAGTATCGTAATGATAAATCAAACATGTTGCATCTGATCTATTCCAGTTTATCTTACTCAAATAAAACATTGTAGGGAAATAAAATGTCATGTTCATAAAGTATTATAATGAACAAGTCTACAATCACATTCCAACTGTCACAAATAATCCAATGTATTTGACCTCTACTATGATAAGTTAATATTTCTGTTTATATTGCACACAATTTGTATTATACATAAAAGGCTACTCCTCACCCTAAAATTAAAACATAAGCTAAGTTAAAAAGGAAATTAATGATGATCTCGTTCGGTTTTTACCACTTCACCTAAAAGAGCTTCAAGAAGACATTGGGGAGCTGGCTTAGACAAACAAGCCCATACAATAATATTTGCTTCTTTCAGTGCTGAGGCTGTTGCATTCCCAATAGCAATAATCTGTTAAAAAAACAAAATCTTACATTAAATCACTCACTCTTCAAAATTGAACAGAAATTATACTCATCCATAATGTTTAGTATCTAAAAAAATAATAGAATTTCAAATACTGATAAAGATAATTTCAACTTTACACAAACTTTGAATATGTTCATTTTGTAATGAATCTACTAAAGTAATGCTGCTTGCTTTAAAATTAAAAAAAAAAAATAAACAATACATTAAATCAAGCACACTTTCGAAATACATTAATTCTTTTTACCATTTTCAATTTAAGAAAATTGTAAAATTAAAACATAAGAAGTTCTTTGTTTTAGCATTCACAACACAAGGAACTTATGACCATCAAACTTTTTTTTAAAATTTGTGTATGACTATCCTCACCCCACTCCCCTTGATACAAGAACAAGAGAATAAACTAGATTTGAAGCCCCACAGCAGAAAATAAATTAAAAAATTGTTTTTAACTGCACTGTGTAAAAACATTGTAATTCAACATTGTTTCTACAATATACTACAGCAATGCACAAGAGATAATTGACTTAAATGCATTTATTGCTTCTTAATATTGTTTTTTAATTTGCCTCTTATTGGTTATCAAAGTGGAATGAACACAAAACTCCCATTTAAATGCTTTGCCTTATAATATTTTTCAGCATACTTTTGTATCACCGAGTGGAATGCTCAACTGGAACAAAATCGGAAGACAATGTTTTACTCCTGAAGGACTGAAAAACACCAAATATTCTGGATATTCTTCTCCTCCATTAGTAACGTTACACAACATTTCTTCCAGGCAAGGGTTTTTTTGTGTGCAATACACAGTAATCTCTCTGTAAGGCACATTTTTCTGAGATAAACATAAAGGTAAAGTACTTCTTCTTATATCGCTGCATGGGAATAATAGTGGATGGTTGTAAGATTCTGTAAAATAATAAAAATCAGTAGAGTATCATAAATTCAGTAAATATTTTAAAAAATATTTTCATTGCATAAAGTATTACTTTGTGTGATACACTCTGCCAAACCCTGAGCATTTTCTGTACTTCCACATCGCCCTATTAAACCCAAATCATTTTTTAATATTCTTTTGGTTGATTCACCAACAACAAACATTGAGTGTTCTTTCCATTCTGGTAAACAATTTTCTGCTGATTCTAAACATTTAACTACTGCTTTCACTGCTCTTGGGCTAGTGAAAATAATACCTAGGCATAAGAAAAGTTGACATTAATAGCAACAGCTTCGAAACTCTAGCGTTTGTCAACTGAAAAACGCACTTGGAACATACCGGAATAATCAGCCGGTCTCGCCAAACAATCTTTCAAAAGTTCTAAATTACAATATTCGAAATCTAATACCGGTATGGTTTTCGGAAGAAAGCCAGTGTCTTCAATAACCTTAGAAAATGAAAATTCATCATTGTCATCATCTGTTTGGGCCTTGAAAAGATAAACTTCTCGAAGTTTCACTGGCATGGCAAAATTAATTTCAAATAGATGAAAGGTTAACTTGTAAAGAATGGTTATAGGCGAGTCATGATGTAAGTTACGTCACGTAACAACGTCCAACTATGACAGAAATTAAGATCACTTTCATGACATAACATAGTTCACGCTTGGTGATGCTTGGCTCGCCAGAACTAATCTTCGTACTAAATCTCGCATTTAGCCCTGCCTCAGTGCTGCGCTCGAACGGGTGGATACATTATCATACCCATGGCGGATCTAGTGACAAATTTGGAGGGGGGGATTTGTGTGTGCGTGTATGTGAGTGGGTTTTTTGTCATAAATATAACTGTTCTTCAGTGCCATTTTTGCCATAAATATAACTGTTCTTCAGATTCTATTTTTGTGGTTTTATGAAAGTTCTTCTAAGGCGTTCTTTACGGAACTCTATTCCTTGTTTTGAATATATACAATTATTTTTCGCCAAGATATTTTAAGTTAATTCAAACAAAACCACAATTAGTTTCTTTTTAATTCATTAAGAAATAAACAGTTATAGATGCTCCGGAGAGCAGTAAAGTAGAAGGCCCGCTAAAACGTTTCATCTTTGCTGCCAGCAGACTACACCAGACTAAAATGCGCTACACTGTGAGCAATACGTTACGAGAAATGTGGAAAATCGAAAGAAGGGGCACTTATCGACCCCTATACACTTGAGTTTTCTCGTTCGCCTCTGCAGAGGCGAGAGTTCATTGCTCGGGTCGGTCAGCGAGCGAGTTTTCTCGGACACATTTCTACTTCTTCATTCATATGTCATTTAGGCATTCGCTGCCGTAAGAAGATTCTAAATAGTGCGTAGAACGCGGTGAGGTTATAATATTTAGCAGTAAAATATGTGATAAACAACCAGATTTTTAATTGATTACTTGAATGTTCTCTTTAAACGGAAATTAACAAGAAAAAAACTTGTGTGAAAGGTATTTTTACTTGTATGAAACCCGTTCATAATGAGCAATATAAAAATAAAAATTTGAAGTAAGAAACTTGAAGGGGTATTTTGAAAGAATTGAATTAATTCATTATTTTTTCAATTCTTATTTTATTTGGAATTTAATTCATTAATTAACAATTAATATTTCTAATTAATTATTTAGGAATGTATTCATTAATTGTGAATTGTGTTGTGAATTATTTGATCATTCACCATTTATTCATAATTCGACCAACAAATATAGAAAGGAGGAGAGATTACGGAGCTCAAGAAAATATGTACAGATTTGACTTCTCCCCTATAATACTTCACATAAGTTCCTGTTTTTTTGTTTTTGTTTTACATTAAATAATCATTTGTAGGCAATACAGTAATATATTTCTCTTTAGTCAATTCGAACTCGTTAAACAGATCGTTTACAATTATGGTAACAACTGAATTAAACAGGTTACACAAGAGCATTTAATGAACAAGAAATGAGACTCGCAGCTGATCTCATAGCTAACTGCTGTCACTACTCCCGGCTTGTGGCACATAATGGCATTTCGAAACATCGAATAACCTATTTCTATTTTGTGGACGCAGCTTCACCGGCCTCTTTCTTCATTTCTCACCCCACATTTTTTCCAACGCATCTCTCGGTGTGGTCTGTTGCTGGCCTTACTTTCGCGGTCTGAAGAAAGTCGACAGGATTTCACAAAATATGTCTCAAGCCTCATCTACTTTTTATTTTTATTAAATTTCTTGCCCTGTTCTTATTCTTTTTAGATATTTTCTTTCTCTTCTGAAGTACTCATTAATCGCGCCGTCTCCAGGCGCATGTAAGCGTTCTATTCCCTATTCTTTTGTTAAGAGCACTGTATGAAATGTCACAACGGCCCACGCTTGGAACCCAGGGAGAGACCTTACTCCGTCAACACTGTTTCTGGTTGCGTTGGCCACACTCAAATACGTGGAAGTCGTCATAACACCGCTTGTCAACCGGAGTACGAAAGAGATACGAGTCAACAGTCGAAGACATTTTTCATAGGTCCCTTGAATTGTGACATAGACTTAATATTATCCGAGTGAAGATATTTAATTGATGTATATGTTATTGACGCAACCTATGCTGATCGAACTATTTTATTTTAATTTCTTGGTTTCTACGGTGGTTTTGTTAAGTTCTTTCTGAGTGTTATAGGGGAATTTTCTTATTGAATATTACGAAATATAATCATTGTTACTCCCGTATAATTAAAGTGACTAAATAATATTTATAGCTGTTTTTGTATGAAAATTTTTATTAAAATAAAATGTATTTTATTAATGATTGAAATTTTCTTGAACCACAGTTGTTGTTTTTTAAGTAAAAATAAATTAAGGATTAATAGAATTGTCACAATATTTTATTATATTATATTTTCATCTCAGGCCACTACTGGCAGGAATACTCTCTGGGCAGGATATTCTACATTTCCTATGAAATCTAAAATTTAGGAATCTACCAACAACTTATTTTTATTATTTTTATTTTTTGTTTGTTTTATTTTACTTTTTTAAACTTTTCTTCATCTTTCAACAGTTTAGAATTACAATGTTAGGAAGGGTTTCTGTAGCTCAAGAAAAGGTGCGCAGATGGTACCTCTCCCCATTACGTCACATACAGTTTTTACTGTTCTTTAACTAAATGCATAATAGACTTCTGGAATCAAGATCTTCTTCGATATTGTCTGAAGGTCTTACCTGAATCACTAACCAGAAGGACCGTTCATTCAAAAATGCCGGGCAGCATATTTATCGCGTCCACTTGGTCGAGTACATTACGTCATAGTCGCCAACACAGCGTATTCTGGCATAGTAATATCATCACCCGTTCGAGTGCAGCACTAGTCGGGATTTAACACGTGTGTACCAGTACTACGTGCGTTTACCAGTACTGACTGGTCCTGACCAAGATGCTAATCGGACGGACCCGACCAGCCAAAGATATTGGAAATAAACTAGACCTGTCGCTGACAGCAGCCTGACAGTGCGTGCACTTTGCAATGAACAGTGAATCTACTGTTTTGGGTTGGCGATCTGGTTGTTTACGACACTGTTGCGAAGTCGAACAGTAACATGTAGAAGGTGGTTTATTGATGTGTAATAGATCACGAAGTTGGTAAAACCATTTTCCCCTGAGGCATACTGATTATGAAATTCCTTCTTAAATTGATAACATGACGTGGTGCGTGAAGATGGAGAAATGTTTTATAATATTGCCCGATTGATTTTTCATTTAGCTTAAAGGATAATTAATTAACTTTTTTGTGTAGGAATCCATTAAGAAGGCCACATTTGACTGCTAAACTTTCGTTCGCACCATCTGTCATTGACAGAGCTGAAGATCAACAATTAGAAGTACTTTATTACAAACTTCAACAGTAAGTGTTAACATTTCATTGCTGACTTGCTTCTGACAGTCCTGAATGTTTTCTTGTTTATTTGTAGTGTTGAAGAAACTTCAAGACGTCTCCAAAAAAATATGAAGAAATATATAGAATATCTTACAAATGCTAGTAAATCTGAACAACGAATTACTTCCGATCTTAGTAGTAGCCAGATATGTTTCCAGAATGATGAACTTCGTAAAATAGTGGAAGACTACCACAGTGTCACTGTGAAGGTAAAGTAAATTATTTCAGGAAAGGTCTACTATATTCTTTGACAGATCTGCTGGAAGAAGGTTCTGTAATAATAATAATAATAATAATAATAATATACACACACATTACTAATAGTATTAGGTTCCCAAGTTTCTTAAATACTACTTTTTTGTTTTAATAGGTAGGCTACTATCTATGATTTGCTTTAATAAATTTATTAAATTCCTATTCCTACAGGGGAATGAAAATGTTGCTGAATTGTCATCCACATCTCAACAGTGCTTCCAAGAACCACTGAAGAAGTTTATCAGTATGTTTGCTGCAATTGATGCAGCTTTCCAAAATCGTGAACAGTTAGCACAAGAGTGGCGAAATCTCTCAGTGAAAGTACGTAAACTAGAAGAAAAAGAGCGAACCGGAACTAACATTGTCAAGCTAGAGCGAGAAAGGAAAGCTCTTGCAGCAGCAAGTACAGAATTACTTGCTTGTCATTCTTCATTGCTTCTTGAACTTCGTTATTTTCTTGAAAAACGACCTGATTTTTTCCACCCAATTTTGGAAGCTTTTATGAGATCTCAACTTGAGTACCATGGGAACATGACAAGACTTTTCACTATGTTAGTGAAAATATCACATCCCCAATCAGATGCATCACCTTCTTCAGCAATGGTGCCAGAAAATGAGTTCCAAGCAAGTGTGAACGAAAAGTTACACAAGTTACAGTCTCTATCAATTGTTAGACAAAAGCAGATAAAATAAGTATTGTCTAAATATTTTTTTAAATAGAGACAATATATTTAATAATCTAAATTCATTCAATGTTACTTCCTTTTAATAATAAATATTTTGTCTCTCCTTCTTGTAAATATGTGTGAAGAAAGATAAAATGTATTGCAAATAGTCTTCTGTGTTTTAATGTCTGTGTATTTGAATACTGAATGTTAAAATATATCATAATTTGTATGAATATTGGTATGGGTTTTCTTTTACGTTCTTGTGTTAAAAAACATCTCTTTAAAACCATGGCTGTTATCCCTCATTGAGAAATCAACTCATTTCATGATGGAAACAAAATATTAAGGTAACACACACTTAAGAAAATTGTTTTAAGACAAAGAGGGAGAAGAAACAATAAACCTTATGCAATGTTTGGGAGAGAGGTACAATCTACACAGATTTTGTCATGCTTGGGAATCCCTTCATTGCCCTGTTGACACTGCAACGCATGTCCAAGTTGTCATCAAGGCTTCAGTCTCGATTCTCTGCAATTGACATAAAACAACCTTAACAAATTAAAGTGAAACTATTGCTCTAGAATGGCACAACCTTTCTCATATTAACTAGTTCCTAATCTAGCCTGGGCTAGTATTTGGTTTCTTCCTCACCACTTCAAAGATGCTTCTCACTGCCATTTTTTTTCACTGTCGAGTTTTCAGTCCTGTAATAGAACAAATTAACTCTGATTAAGAATATTATAGAAGAGTATATAGTGCAAATTTTCATCGGAAAATTTGGAGCTATTTTTGCAGTAATGTTTGAACATTTGTGAAAATCTGCAATTTTGAGCTCATTTTCACAGAAAACTTTCGAGTTTTCAAGACACTTTTTCAATATCAGGGGATGTGTATTTCTATTAAAATCTCAAAATTAATTTTCCACAGCATTACATAACTTTCTTTACTTATTTATATTATTCTGTATGTATGTGTGTATATAAGATACTAAAAATTAGTCATAAAGCTATGTAAGCTTACGATAAAAATAGGTGAATTGACATGAAAATGAATAGGTGAATTCATCCCACGACCAGCCACTTCTATGTGGTACAGTGAACCTTCTCCAAATCAGCACATTTATTATATTCGATATAGACTGAATTGGGATTTCACCTGGAGGAGAATTGATGAGAGTCGAAAAATGCCTTTGCTTTCACTGAAAATGTAACAAGCATCACAAAACTTTTCTTTTCCAATTTCACTGATTTAAAAACTAACATTGACATATAATGGCAGTTTCTAAACTAATGGTCAAGAAAGGCAATACAAAATTGCTGAGGATCCAGGGTCATGAGAGCAACCCCCATCCCCCTCAACTACAAATATTCTTAATGTAAATTTATTCAGAGCAACTCTCACTTCTGATCACATCACATTCCAAAGGAGTATTTCTTTTAAAGATCAGCAGACATCATATCAAGAAGTAATTTATATTTTAAAAATTACCTTATTTCTGAAATTTATGGAGGAGGCATGGCTGTAATTGGCTTGTCTTGAAATGCTTCCTACAGAGAATGCACTGTACCCTGTTCAATGATCTTCCAATATTTTTCTCACGAGTACGATGTTCAACCATAATAAATTTGGGAATAAATCAACTTTTGATCATAGTGTTTCCGTTATCAACATTGTTATGTTGAGAAATTGGTATATGTAATAGTTGACTCACTTTATGTCAATATTATCGTGATAAGCAATTTATCAAATAAAACATGCATTTTACTTTAAAAGTGTAGTAATAAATGTGTTGTAAGTAAGACACTTTCTCCACACGTTAACTTGACTATTAAAATAGTGCCAAGCTGCTAATGTGACTGAAAATCAAGGTCTCTAGCAGGAGTAGACACATACCCTCCTAATATTTTTAAATACATAGAGTATTTTTATTCTAATTCCCATTTTTTATTATTAAAGACACTTTCAGAATCACTTATAATGAAACCAGTAACATTTATATTGTGAAATGGTGAATACAAAAATGTCTTGAAGTTTTTCATTACTAAAAAAAATGTTCACAAAGATTACGAGGAAATACCTAATGAGACAGGTAGGTGTAGGACTACCAGTCATCCTGAATTTTCATATCTAATGAAGTAGACTTTTGAATTAGTTAAGAGTGGTCTAAGCAGGTTCAGATTTTAAAATTTTTATTTTTTTTTACATCAAAACATTTTGTGAAAATACACCATGTCTCTAGCAGGAGTAGACCACTACCCTCCTAATATTTTAAATACATAGGTATTTTTATTCTAATTCCCATTTTTTATTATTAAAGACACTTTCAGAATCACTTATAATGAAAACTCCCAGTAACATTTATATGGAAAATGTGATACAAAATGTCTTGAAGTTTTCATTACTAAAAAAAATGCTCACAAAAGATACAGGAAATACCTAATGAGACCAGGGAGTGTAGGACTTACCAGTCATCCTGAATTTGTCATATCCTAATGAAGTAACTTTTGAATTAGTTAGTAGTGGTCTAAGCAGGTTCAGCATTTTTAGAAATTTTATTTTTTTTTTACATCAAAACAGTTTGTGAAAATATCTTTGAAACAAACCCAATTTCTCAATCATATCCATCTAAGTTTTTTTAATAAGGAACAAACCCTGAAATGGAGAGTGTGTTGTGTGTGTGGGGGGGGGGGGCCGTGACTCTGATTCACGGCTCGTATTGTGCATAACTTTGATTTGATTCACAAGAGTTGTCTAAGCAGGTTTCAGGATTTTAAAATTTTATTTTGTACATCAAAACATTTTGTGAAAATATCTTTGAAACAACCCAATTTCATCAATCTATATCCAATTCTAAGTTTTTTTTAATAAGGAACAAACCCCGAATGGAGGAGTGTGTTTGTGTGTGGGGGGGGCGTGACGCGATTCACGCTTATTGTGCATAACTTTGATTGAT